CAACCTGGCTCTCGAGTGCGTCGTGTATGTAAATGCCATCAAGATGCAGCCAACTGGAAGTCAGATAGTTTGCCGAGCCGAGAATTTTTGATTAGCACTTTTTATGAAGTAATTGAAATGGATAAATTAAATATGTTTTTAGCGGGTAAAACAAAGGAACAATTTAAACAGAAATGGCAAAAAGCCATTAATTGGTATGAAGACAATGTGTAAGGTCAACCCCCAGTTGTATGTAATGGAAGAATTTTGTATGTGTATTATTTTGGAAAAATTGAAAATAAAAATAAATACTGCAAAAAAAAAAAAAAGTTGCAGCCAACTTAATGGTGTTTTCCAGGCCAGAGATATTCAGAGGTGGTTTGCCATTGCCTCCCCCTGCGTAGCCACCCTGGTATCCCTTGAAGGTCTCCCATCCAAGTACTAACCAAGACCGACCCTGCTTAGCTTCTGAGAGCTGACAGGATCAGGCAAGCCTGGGCCCTCCAGGACAGAGCAGTATGTTAGCTCTTTGTTTTTACAGACGCAATACAAAATGAGCCTGTGCTAACCGTGCTCTAACTCCAGAGCTGGTCTCAGCTGGTGCCATGGCGGCTGAACACACCTCCTCATTAAATAATTCAGAACAGTTATTTGCTGGTCCCAGGTGAATTGTGCTGGAAAGGAGTTCGCAGTGTGGAGACTTAAGCCCATTAAGAAGTAGCTGTTTTGTATTGATCAGACAGTAGACGTCCTCAATCGTTGCACTGTGAAAGCGACCCGATCGAAGTTTTTATTTATTAGGCATCTGCAAAATTAACTGGTGGAAAGCTGATTTGTCTTAATTGTTGGCGGTTTTAATAATATTTGCTTGAGCAGGGACTACTACAGTGAATGAATGGTTAATCTCAACATTGTTGTGATCGGGCTTCTCGGAGTTTAGAACCCAAGTTCTTTTAACAAAGCCCGTGAGTTCGTTAGGATTCTGCATTCTCTTAACGGCCTCTTGCTCTGTTGTTCTCGACAGGACACAATGTTTGTACGCGGACTGAAGAGGAAATGTGTCGATGGAGAGGAAGATGTCGAAGGAACTTTAGCTGGCTTTAAAGCAATTCCTTCCTACAACCTCCAGCGCCAGTCGCTGTTGGACATGTCTCTGGTTAAACTTCAACTGTGCCACATGCTCGTCGAACCTAATCTCTATCGTTCAGTGCTCATAGCCAATACAGTACGGCAGATCCAAGAGGAAATGACCCAAGATGGGACTTGGCAGATGATAAGCGCCCAGAGTACAGGACCATCCTCTTTGGACCGTCTGGTTTCCACAGACATTCTCTGTCGTTCTTCAAAGGAGCAACCTGAAGAAAAGCTTATCCAAGGATATAGTAGCTTCTCGAAAGACTTTGAAGACGCACAGTTACAAGGGAGTGCAGAAATCCTAAGACCTGCTCCAGTGCAAGCTCCCAGAGACTTTCAGAATAATGTATGGGAAATGGAGTGTCCTGCAGAAAACAGAGGAAGCTTCCATAAGTCATTAGATCAAATATTTGAAACCTTAGAAACAAAAACGCCTGATTCTGTCGAAGATCTTTTCTCAGAAGTCGACAGCTCCTATTACAATCTCGATACGGTATTAACAGGAATGATGGGCAGTTCGAAAATGGGACACTGCGACGTGCTCGAAACGTTTCCTCAAGCGAGCACCAGTTCTAACTCTAGCTGTAAATCCGACCTTAATGAGCTCGACCATTTTGTGGAGATTCTGGTTGAGTCTTGAGGTGGAGGGGGGGAGAGTGACATCCTCTGAGGAAGCCAGATCTTGGAGGAGCAAAACTTTTCAGAGAGCTTGTTCTCTCAGAGCTGCATATGACCTCCCCAGCGAAAGCCTTTCATTTTTCAAAGCTGTATTAATGTATAAAATTAATCTTCCATTTGTAATGTCTGGTCTGTAAGTCCATTTTTCTAATGGCCACAATTCAGAGAGGTGTATTGGGCACAAGTTTGTGTCTAGCGGGGCTTCTTGATTGCCAGTTTAACATCACAGTCTCCACTCCGGCCCGTGTCACACACTGCTAAGAGAGCTCCCTGGTGCTTCACTAGTGGCTCAACATCTCCAAAGGCTCCAGGGCCGATCACACCAGTTCTCTGTATTGTGCCCATCCACCCCCACCCCCCCACACACACCCTTTTGGGTTCTGACACTTTGAAAACTAGACTATTTTGCTAATCCCTCCTAGCCTTTAGAAAAGACTTAAAATATTGCAGTGGTATTTCCTCTCATCAAGATCATCTCGTCCCTGAAAATTTGGCATGATGGGGAGGCCAGGTGTATGAAAGGGAGCGATTAAAGCTCTCAGTCCAAGCCTAAGTCCAGTCCAGTTGGTGTTCAGGACAAAAACTTTGAGTGACCTTTCGTACTCCCGCTGTTTTGGCGGACTTGAGCAATCTTAACTTTTCAGCGAATGGGTCTGAGGAGCAAAAGCGTGGCTTCCCTCCTTAACTCCAAGGAAATAACTTCCCCGGTTCGTATCTTTGTTTATTCACCACCCAGCTCTTGAAGAGCTGAAAGCCATGAGTCCCAGTATCCTAGATCATTCCCTCCTTCCCCCCCCCCACCTGTCATCCTTATTTTCTGTTATTTTTTAAATATAGTTATTAGTTTTTTAAAATGTTTATCAGTGTTCAGAATTTTTCAGCTATTTTCTGAAGATATATTTTTGCTACAGATCTTCGGTCAACTGCCTATTTAGTATCCTGACGTATTTGCAGTTGTATTTTTTTAATCACTTTGAGGAAGGGATTTTTTTTTTTTGTCTTGCACGGGCCTCCCTTAGCTGAGTAGAAGTGTGTAAATATACAACCTTAACGTAGGGGTCAGCTGTTGGCATTCCATCGTAGAGAGTAGTGGGGGCTTAAGAGAGTGAAGAGAGAGTTATTCTTGATGCAGCTCTTACACAGACCTTGGAGGAGCCCTGCAGGAGCTCCCAGCGCATTTACGCTTCAGTCCAAGCCGTGTTTCTCGTTACCTTCAAGCACAGATTTGTCAGTTTTATTTATATATATTTATAGCATCCAGTGAATGTTTGTGAAGTCTACCATCCTACTTGCTCTGTGTTTGGGAAAACAAAACATCCCTTGCCTTGCACTAACTGTTACAAGACTGTTACAAGAGGTCTTTTCAAGAGCGTTCGCTAAAGTGAATTCTCTCCATCTGCTCCAAGGTTGTAAAAAGCACGTTTGGTTGAACCTTGGTTAACGGAAGTCATAGCAACTGGTTAGGATTCAGTTTCAAACAGCTAAAGCTACCACCTGCCTGAACATACGTAAACTGTCTCCTCATTAAAAAAAAAGGGTTCTGGTGAAAAGATGTATCGCACCTAAGAACGCTTGCAATAAAAATGCCTATTTTTACATCAGTGAAAGGAAACCTAACTCTGCGGTGGGGGAAGAGGTATGAGAACTCTTCAGTCTTTTAATGAGGGGTTTTTTTATTTGATAACATAATATTTTAACGAGGGGTTTTTTTTCCTACTTGTATTTTAGCTGCTGAACAATTTTAGCCACCTTTAACATGGATCTGCAGTGCCCAAATTTGGAAGTACTGATTTTTATTTTTAAAAACCATTTTGATATTGACTTGACATGAACTTTCAAGCATTGGGAAGTCTTAACTCCCAGCACAGAGGGTCTCAAATGCTGCACTATCTTTCTGGAAATGGAATCGCTAGAGTCAGTAAAGGCGAGCCCGTTGGGCAAGCGTTCCCACCACGTACAGCCAGAAACATCTCTTCAAAACCTAACGATCCTTGTCTTGCGTACAGGTAGCTAACGGACTTTGTCTTAATTGAGGCCGCGGTCTGAAACCCTTTTGCGTAACCAGCCCCTCCTGGGCTTAATAGGGCTGCTTACAAGGAACTGGTTTCTAGACTGGCCTTCATCATTCTAAGTGCTTTCAAAGCAACTGACTTGAAAATGGCATTGTATGTTTTCCAGTCTGGGCAGATAAATGCCTATTTCTGTAACTCGCATTTTGTGTCAGACTATGCCGTTTGTAAAAGGGGACCTTTTTAAAGCATTGGGGAATGATTAATGTCTTTTTATATTAAAGTTGAGTATGAAGAGACTTCTTTGTAGACTCTTTTTTAAGGTCTTTAGCGCAGAAATTATTACAGCTTACCCGTATTTAAAAGCCTGGGCCCGTGAAACAGCCTTGTGGTTACAACTGAGCACTTTTTAATAGAACAATAAAGGCGTCTTGAATAGGAACGTTATGAATGGGTGCTGCGGAGAGTAAGTAACCCTTAATGGGATTCAGATTTGAATACGAAAGCGAGACACTAATTATAGACCGACGAGTCTTTGGCATTTTAAAAGCTCTTTGGGCGAAGACTGTCTGGCAAAGCAGGCCCCGGATCATGAAAACTTATGGCCCAGGATATAGTCTTCAAGGTGGTATGAGACTCTAGTGGCGTCAGCCTATAGTGGCCAGCCCCCCCCCCTCCATTATAGAACATTATTTTTATTATTAAATTTGTACCCTGCCCTTCCCACTGCAGTGGGCTCAGGGCAGCTAACAATATAAAAATGCGATACAATGCATACAATAATAATAAAAATCTAAAGAACAGTTATTCAGACATTTCGATAGCAATTCATAAAGCTCATTACCATAATGTTATTTTATTATTATTGAATTTATATCCTCTGCCCAGAAGCCAGCCTCAGAGTGAGTCACATCATTTGTAAATACATTCAATTCATAAGGTAAAGGTTTCCCTTGCTTGAAAGCCAATCGAATCCGACTCTAGGGATGTGGTGCTCATCTCTGTTTCCAAACTGAAGAGCCAGTGCTGTCCAGAGACGTTTCCGTGGTCATGTGGCTGGCATGACTAAACGCCGAGGCGCACGGGAGGCTGTTGCCTTCCCACTGAAGCAGCACCTATTTATCTACTTGCAATTTCTTGCATTCAAACTGCCAAGTTGGCAGGAGCTGGGGCCAGAGGACGGGAGCTCACTCCATCATGCAGCACTCGGGTCTCGAACTGCTGAACTGCCGACCTTTCAGTCTGCAGTTCAGCATCTTAACCACTTGAGCCACTGCTCAAGACTAATACATAATTACAGTAAATACAATAAAATACATACTATCCTCTGTACAGCCAAAAGATGGCATAAAATCTTGGGGAGTAAGGTATAGTCTGAGGGGAGGGAGAAAGGGAGGAGGCCAATTTGTAATGGAAACTGTCAAGAACTGTACTGGCAGAGACTGACCAAGAGAGAGATCTTGGAGTCGTAGATAACTCACTGAAAATGTCGAGACAGTGTGTGACTGCCATAAGAAAGGCCAGTGCTATGCTGGGAATTATTAGGAAGGGTATTGAAAACAGATCAGCCAATATCATAATGCCCCTATATAAATCAATGGTGCGACCTCATTTGGAATACTGTGTGCAGTTCTGGTCACCACACCTTAAAAAGGATATTATAGCTTTGGAAAAAGTGCAGAGAAGGGCAACTAGAATGATAAAAGGGTTGGAACACTATCCCTATGAGGAAAGGTTAAGGCGCTTAGGGCTCTTTAGCTTGGAGAAATGACGACTGAGGGGTGACATGATTGAGGTTTATAAGATTATGCATGGGATAGAGCAGGCAGAGAAAGAGGTACTTTTCTCCCTTTCTCACAATACAAGAACTCGTGGGCACGCCATGAAATTGCTGAGTGGTCGGGTTAGAACGGATAAAAGGAAGTCCTTCTTCACCCAAAGAGTGATTAACACGTGGAATTCACTGCCACAGGAAGTGGTGGCAGCTACAAGCATGGACGGCTTCAAAAGGGAATTGGATAAACATATGGAGCAGAGGTCCATCAGTGGCTATTAGCCACAAGGTATAGATAGGGACTCTGGGGCAAGTGATGCTCTGTCTTCTTGGAGCTTGGGGGGGGGGTCAACAGTGGGAGGGCTTCTAATGTCCTGGCCCCACTGGTGGACCTCCTGGTGGCACCTGGTATTTCTGGCCACTGTGTGATACAGAGTGTTGGATTGGATGGGCCTTTGGCCTGATCCAACAATGGCGTCTCTTATGTTCTTTTTTTTAAAAAAAAACATTTTATTTTCAGGGTATTACAACATGTCTACAATTATAACTTCACATTTGTCAAATTCCCTTCTCCTTTTCCCCCTCCCTCCCATTCCCAGGCTTCCAGCAATGCTCCCTCCCCCTCCATATATTAATTCTTATTTTTCCATCTTACTCCACTTATTACTTAATCAATTAACTTCTATTAGCTTATATTTATAATCTAGTTCTTAGGTAACCTTTTAATTATCTGTTCAAATAGTTCATTTTCATTTTTCTGTTCTTAATAACTATCAAAGCATCGTCTCTTATGTTCTTAAGACAGAGCCCCATGCTGCCCTCAACCATGTACCTGGTGGGACAACTGTTTTGCAGGCCCTGCAGGACTGTAACAAGTCCCGTAGGGCCCTGATCTCTCCCAGAAGAGTGTTCTACTAGGTTTGAGCCAGGGCCAAAACGTCCCTGGTTGAAGAACAGCCAGACGCTCTGGGCCAGGGATCACCAGGAGATCTTGGTCATTAGAGCATAATGCTCTTTGGGGGGTATGCCAGAAAAGGCGTTCCCGAAGGTATGCTGGCCCCTGACCATTAAGGGCTTTAGAAGCCAGCACCAAAACCTTGCATCTGATCTGGTCCCCAGTCCGGAGCCAGTGCAGCTGACAGAGCACCAGCTGTCTATGCACTCTGAAAGATGTTCCTATCAGAACCTGCGCAGCTGCACTCTGGACCAGTTGCAATTTCCGGGTCAGTCACAAAGGAAGCCCTGCGTAGAGCGAGTTACAGTAGTCCAACCTGGAGGTGACCAGAGGTCATTTCGGGGGGGGGGTCGCAGTTCCCCCGCGTGAGGTGCAGGGGGCGGGGCACACGACGAAGCCCCGCCCCTTCCGGCCACCCCCTTCTTTCAGCCTCATTCTGTTGCAGAAGGAGGAAGAATCAGGAGGGTAAGTTGGCGTCCTCCTCCTCTGCCTGGCTGAGGCCACTCCACGTGGCCTCCGCAAGGACTCTCAGCCCCATCCAGGAGCTTCCCCGAGGTAGCTGTGTTAGTCTGTTGCTGCAAAATAGTCCAAGAGTTCAAATAGCACCTTTAAGACTAACCTTTAAGACTAAGACTGAGTGGTGGGTGTGGCCTTATGACACACTTTCGGTGATGTCAGGGGTGTGTGGCCTCATGACACACTTCCGGTGATGTCAGGGGGTGTGGCATATGCTAATGAGTTATGCTAATGAGTTCCCCTAGCTCTTTTTCTACGAAGCGACCCCTGGAGGTGACCATTGCATGGATCACTGGCTAAATTAGAGGGAGACAGGAAAGGAACTAACTTTAACCTGGCCAAGGTGGTAAAAACGCCAGTTTAGCAACATTCATGACCTGGGCCTCCATTGAAGAGATGCATCAGGATCACCCCCCAAGCTCCTAACAAACGATGCAGATGTTAATGGCACACCACAAAGAGCTGGGAGCTGGCAACTCGACCCTGATCTCCCCCCCCCCCCGCCCCCCCCCCCGCACCCCCTTCTTGATCTTTGATAGGTTTTCT